CGCCTTGAGAAGTCAAACGCAGCTGTCGTAGGAGAAGTCACCGCCGTGGCACTAGTGTTAACGCGCCGAACCGTGGTTGATTAGGAAGGGCATTCAATCAGGCAAAGGTGATACCGCCATATAACCTCTCAATACTGAATTGAGAGAGGTCTATGCCCTGCAGTGGAATGAATGGCTGTTGGAAAAAACAATATATATATATATATATATGTGTGTGTGTGTGTGTGTGTGTATATATGGCCGCAATAACAATGATAATAGGGATAATTATAATAAAAAGGAAAGTTCGATTTTATTATTAGTGTTGCTGTTTTTATTGTTATTATTGTTTCTAATAAGAGCCAAAAAACATATATGGCGGCAATAATATAATGATGATAATGATGATAAAAACAATAATAGTGTATATTTATAATAAAAAGGAAAAAAAAAGTCCCCAAATCGAAAAAGCAGCAAAATCTAGGGTATATATGATAATAATCATCATAATTGTATTAATTATGACAATAACGATGATAAAAATGAGGAAAATTTGAATGTTCATAACATTATAATAGTTAACATAATTTTGATAATAATGGGAATAATTACAATAATTAGTAATAATAATAACATTACCATTATTATTATCATTTTTATTATTATTATTATTATTATCATTATCATTATTATCATTATTATCATTATTATCATTATTATCATTATTATCATTATTATTATTATTATTATTATTATTATTATTACTATTATTGTTATTAATAATAACATTATTATTATTGTTATTAACATTATCATTATTGTCATTATTATCATTATTATTGTTACTATTATTATTATTATTTATTACAATAATCATTACTATTGTTATTATAATTACTATTATTACTATTATTATTATTTCATTAGTATCATTATTATCGTTATTATTACTTTTATTATTGCAAAAAAAAATATTATAACTGTAATAATGAGAATAGTAATAATAATAGTTATAACAATGATTATAGTAATTATAATATCGTAATTATTATTATTGCTGTTGCTGTTGTTATTATTATTATCATTATTTTTTTAATTTGTAGTATAAATGTGAAAAAAATATTAATAAAAATAATGATAATAATAATTAGCATAACGTTATTATTGCTATTATTATTATTATTATTGTTATTATATTTATTCATTATCATTTGTGTTATTGTTATAATTGCAAAAATAATATATCATAACTGTAATGATTATAATGATAATGAAAATAATGATAATAATAATGAAAATAATGATAATAATAATGAAAATAATGATGATAATAATGAGAATAATAGTAATAATAAAAGTTCGGCTTTTGTTATTATCATTTCTATTGCATATATTATTTCATTATTTGTACTATTGGTATGATTACCTACAAAAATAAAGGGCCGCAATAATTGCAGTAATGATGATAATAATATTGATTATAATAAAAATGAGGTTTGCTATTATCATTTCTATTATTATTATTGCTATTAATAAGATAATTATCAAAAAATATACATGGCGGCAATAATTACAGTGACAATGATAATTATGATTATAATTATGATAATAATTATAATAACGATATTAATGATGATAATAATTACAATAACGATAATAATGATGATAATAATGAAAATAACGATGAGGTAATCGACCTCTTAGTTATGTAAGCATGGCCGAGAATGGCGATTTGTTTAGTACTACATCTTCGCGATGCAGTAGCGATACAATCGACATCATCAGTGATGAAGAGAAAAGCAGTTATTTTTTCTTCGTGTGCTCATCGTGAACTTCGCAGAGAGTGAGATATGTCTCAAAGTGGGAGACGTACCGCGCCTCTCTTTCCAACAAACTTACTAACAAAAGGCTGATGATGCAATTCAAGACCTATAAAAGAAACAGTTCGTACAGTCAGGTAGAATGTTAGTATGTACAAACAAGCGAGGTAGTGGTTGCATCATCTATCCTTATGCAGAAAGTTTGTATGTTATTTTTATTTTACTTGTTTTATCGCCTGTTGAGATGTGTGTTTGTGTTAGGTTGAAGGCTATGATTAATACATATTAAGTACAAGAGTTTCGTGATCCTTTTCACTGAATTATTCTTGTGAGGACTGTACCTGTTATATTATGAATTTGTAAACATTTAAAAAATATTTTTCATAGTCTGTGGTTTATTTTTTTTTACATGATTATATGGAGTGAGAAAGACTTTGCCATATGTATATATTTTTGTGTTATATTTGCATAATCCGAACATTTTATACCTCATTGAGGGTTAATATGGGTTTCCCTTTCTTGTTTGGTAACATCTCGAGGCGAGAGTTCTCAGAGCAAGAAATGGTTGTTTTATTATCGTTACGGTGTTGCGTGGGAATATCCCCTTTCACAGTCATAGAAATCGTCTGACCTCATCCCGGAGAGACGATATGTGCATGGCAACCTTACAGTCGTCTTTATGTCCGATAAGGCAGAAAGATGTATGGTCGAGTATTCACGTTCTTTCTCTGGTTAGGTTACCACGTAATATGCCGGGTGAGAACGCACAGTATGTGCACTTACGCTCATGAATCATATCATGCAGATACTTATATTAGGGTAATATCTGAAATACCGTTAATTAGCATATCACAATAAATTTAAGGCGTATTAACCCGGGAAATTTCTTACCTAGAATCTCAAGACTTTTCCTTGCTATCTCAAGAATCTGTCTTGCTTTCTCAAGCGACCCCCGTAGATGGAGAGCCTTGCGCTTGCTAAGTCAAGCGGTGTACCGTCACCATGGCAACGGCGTCGTTAGCGAACCGTAGGGGTTACACGCCTTCGAATACGGTAATCTCATTTTTTGCTGACCATAGTCTAAAATATGAAAATAGTACTAATAGTACATTTATAGTTTGAGAATTGCAAGAATTAATACTGCATTCAGGTCAACGCCTATTAAAGTATTTGTCATTGTTAAATTAAGGCAGATAACAGTTCTATATTTATCTCTATCTATCTATATATCTAAGTTTTGCATTTGATAAGCAGATAAGATTATATCATAAAAGAAAAAAAAAATATGGGACTATTCATGCTAAACAATTTTGAATAAACAAATCACTTGTAACTACATACTGACAGTGTTAGGCATCTTAGAGAATAGGTCTTTTTTCACTTTTTGATAACTTTTTCTTCCTTTTGCGGTTCCTGTGATGAATTCTGTTATGAATGTTATCATTTTCACTATTCTGATTATCATTATTAT